GAGAGAGAGAGAGAGAGAGAGAGAGAGAGAGAGAGAGAGAGAGAGAGAGAGAGAGAGAGCACTGACAGTGCTGCCAGTCTGAGGACTCTGACGTTCTGAATTGAACTGCAAAATTGTGTATTCAAAGTTACTAGTACGTTTTTTTTCCAAAAAATTCTCTGTTTCTTTAGTGTTGTGCCTGCTTTGCACTGTTTGCAACTCTGCATGTCTGCTAGTTAAATGCGGTGGTTGATTTGGTGCAAGACACGTGCTCTGCTGCCTGAACTACAGAGTGCAAAGCAGGTAAGTGCCTGCCAACTCCCCTGTCCAACCCCCCCCACCCCGTTTTTTTTTTTTTTTTTTTTTTGGTCCGGACATTCGTGCACCCCTGGTACCGGTCCGGACTGTCCGGGTCCGGTGATGTCCGGGTGTACGAAATGATTAGGGAGACTACCACCTGGTGTGAGGGCTGAGCTACATCCCCAATGTCAAAGCTGGCCTCAGCCATGAGTCTGGGACGACAGGACTATGGTTCTTTTCTTCGTCCTCATGCTGTCATAAGACAGGAAACGAAAAAGAGAACGGGGAGTTGTTGGGGAGTAGGTGGGGCGAAGGCCTGAAAAATGTAGATCTAAGATTTTCAGGAGCATGGCAGCTTTCCACCTGCGCTCCGTTTTCTGGCGAAATGGAGAGTGGTGGAGTGAGACCCACATTTTGGAAAAGAAAAAGCAAGCAGTAAAATCACCAATCTTGGGCCTCGCTGCACTACTCTAGACTCTCGAATTTTCGAGAGTGGGTCATCACTGCACTTACTCTCGATCGGGAAACTCTCTAAACCCGATCGAGAGCTGTCAGAAGCCACACTATAACACAACTCTCGAAATGTCGAGAGTCCCCCACCTGCACAAACTGAATTTGCAAGTGTCCTCGGGAGGAGTTGCCCGCCGACAGGCTCGTTTTTCGAGAGTGGACCTCCTGTCCCGGCGGCCAGACTTTGTCCCGTAGCGCAGTGGTGAAGCTCTTCTGTAGAGTAGGACGACGCCCAGGGTTTCGAGAGTTCACCTAGTGTAATAGGTTATAGAGTAAGTGCAGCGAAGGCGCGTATTTCGAGAGTCTCGCCTCTCTGACAATGCTAGCCGAAATCTCGAAATATTTCGAGACTCTAGAGTAGTGCAGCGAGGCCCCTTCTCTTCCTGATGTGTCGAGAGAGCCCGAGTGTGACACGAGGTACGGGCCGAGCTGACCCATGATCTGGCTACCCCATGGGGACCTTTTGTTTCTCTTTTTTTTTTGCTCTCTCTGGACACTTGTCGTTTTCTGTGGAGCCTCATTTTCCCATCGCTCCACTTTGCCTGCCCCTGGGCTTCTGGATGCCTGTGGGGTTCTGATCCTGGCAGTCGCGTCCACGTCTGTGGATCCTATTGCACAGCATGAAATCTTTTTTCCTGTAAAGAAAGGAATATGTTTCCGTTATTCCGCAGCATGTATCCTACATGCATGATGTTTTTTGCAGATTTTTCAAAGACTTTCTAAACAAGGCGTGCTTGTGCAGGGTCCATGATGCTTTCTTTTTTCTTCTTTTTTTTCTTTTCTTCTTTTTTCCTTCTGATTTCTTCTTTTGGTGCTGTGCGGTCATTCTTTTTTGGTGAAACTTCGGTCTGGATGTCCGACTTCTGGAGGTGACGAGACCATAGAGGCCACAGTCTATTGGTGGGAAGCTGCACCGATGGGAAACAGGGTCTGGTCACTGGTGGCCATGCTAATCTGATAACTTATTGAACCAGGGGCCAAGCCCCATATGCACGGTTGAAGTGAGCTAGCCCAACGGTGCCACCGAATGCATTAAAAAATTAAAAATAGGCGAAAAGGAACAGAAAGTAAGCGAAAGTAGAAACACCGACGCCCTCAAAATGGCAACAACATTCCGGCAGAAATGCAGATTCATCCGTTGACAGAAAATAGCAACAAAAAGAAGAAATTGAGGAGGGAGTATTGTCTTCACCCGAATAGAACGCCCGGTCATTATAGCTGTATTTGTAGTCTAGAGACAGAGGTAATGACTGGGCGTTCTATTCCGGTGAAGACTGTAGTGGTAGGCAACGGTAGACTGGCACAACGACATAGCTCTCTATTCAGGTGAAGATGGTAGTGGTAGGCAACGGTGGACTGGCGCAACGACAGAGCTGTAGAGCTCAAGGCATGCGACCGCTTCACTTGCTTTGTGGGGCTCAGGAAAGCCAGCATTGTCGGTCGTGGTTGGAAGACCTTTCTCAGGCTAGCTATTGAAAAACAAATGCAGTCCCCCAAAAAGAAGTCCCTGACAAACGCGTCGTAAGCAGCTAGCACTTCGTGGCCTGAGGATGGCAAGGCCCGCCCCACAGGACCCGCGCGAGTCAGGGGAGATGCCATCGCCATGATCGGCCATCTCCTTGGGGCTCGAGTGTCAACGTCCCCCGGCTGGACGACACGGCCGGAGTGTAGAATCCACGCGTCGGAGCGGTCGACACGCTGACGCCAGCGTACAGAATGAACGGGGAGAGTACCGCGGCAACATCGGCGGCACGATAACCACAACAACGAGCGAGATCGGGGTTTGGAAGCTGCGTCCACTACACCATCAGGTAAGTACCATTAGCACGCCGCCTGCAGGAGTGGCCGGGGCGTCGATAATGGGGACCGAGATTGAAGGGGATGAGGGTGTGCAGGGCATCCCTCCTGGCCTGCAGCACCCAATGGAGCAGGAGCTGCCTTCTTCCTCAGTATGGTGGGATACGGCGTCAGCGGCAGAAATCGTGGGCATGTACAAGCAACAAATACAAGAAGCAGTCACGATGCTGCTGCGAGTGGAGGACAGGCTGCCAGTGGAGCTCCTTCAGGACGTAGAAGACACCTGTGTTGGATGGGGGGATGAGCTTCGAGAAAACGCTTCCTTGCTACAACTGGACACTCTTGACAAGGAGCACTCCCTTGACAAGGAGTACGCTATAAACGACATGCAAGAGTGTCTGACGCTATTGAAGAAATTACGAGAAATTATAGCACAACGACAGGCGGCAACTACCACCAACAGTCCACAGGTGGATGAAGGATGCCCGTGCATAACACAGGGCCCGACTTGCAGCTGCCTGATAAATGATGCAATACTGGAGCAGGGCCTTCCGGAGACTGATGGCAGGACGGATGAGATCCTCTGCAGCTGCCGGGGGCAGGAGCGGCTTAACGACCGGCCTAAAAGGCAAGACCTACAGAGGATCAACATGGGTAGGATGGAGAGGGGCCAGGTGCCTGCTGGGATGACTGCCGAGGTTTTCGTTTCTTGTGACATGGTGGACAAGGGCCTCAGCTGCAGTCAAACGCAGGATCGGACCGATGAGCATCATCTGCGCGCTGCAGGCTCTCGGAAGGTTGCAATGACGAACACCAGGCAACTTCCATCTAGGCCGGTGCTTCAAACTTCTTCCCTGAGGATGGCCTGCAATAGGCCGATCGGGGAAGCTGCCCTTTCTATAAAACGAGAGGCAGGCCATAGGCGTAGATTGCACAGTGAGTTTACTGCATATGTCGTTTCCTCCAGAGAGGCCGCTCCTTCCGCTCCTCGGCCTGAAACCGACACGGCAATCTGTGCTGCTCATTGTGTCGAATGGTGGGTGCCCTGGACTTGGGGAGATGCGGGGGAGAGATTGGGTATAGGTTAGTTGGGAGTGGTTGGGGGGGAGGGCAAAATAATTCCCAGGTACTGATCGTTGTATAACCCTGGGGGATGAGATGGTGTTGTTTTGTCCTGGACGCCGACTTGATGTCTCACAAAAACTACTAAATACTATATTCATGAACAGTAGATGAACCGGGATGGGGTGGTAACCGACAAGAGAAGGATTGTTTGACTTTGATTGGTCGGGGGAAGGGCAGATTGGATAAACGGGTAGTGATTACCAAAGGGTTAGGGTTAAGGACTGGTGGCCATCACGATCCTGTTCCCATCTGGTCATCACATGCAATCATATTCTTTGTGACATCCCCACAACAGCGGGTTGGTATGTCGAGGTGAGGGACAGAGAGATGTCGTGATGATCTTCCCGTCCCTTTTCTTTTTTTTTTTTTTTTTTTTTTTTT